AAGTGGCCCTTGGTGAGTTTCTTAAAGAGATTAAGAAGAACCCTTCCAGTGTCAAGTTTGCTGAAATGGCCAACATCCTGGTGATTCACTGCCAGGCCTCTGGTGAGTTTTTGTTGCCTTGTCATAGGCACCAGCACCATGTGGCCTAGTCGTAGCTTCCTCTTTCTCCACCATGCAGTACCTTCCTCATTGAAGGGCATTCAGCTTTTTCTTTACTGTAGTGTAATGTGTGAGCCCCAGGTTGTGAAGTGCTGAAGGTTTCTGCCTTACCTGTACCAGGAAATTCTCAGGCCTTTAGAGAAGTGGTCTGAGAACAGGTGCAATAGTTCCTAGTGGCCCACTCCTGGGAAGAAAGGGTTGCCACATGTAGCACTAGTTGAAGCTTCCAAGTTGCCTTCAAGGGCAATTAGTAGTCCAGTTGAGACCTCACAGAAAGGAGAAAACATGGTTGCACTTACCTGTAACTGATGTTCATCGAGTGTCTTCTGTGCTGGCACACATAGGCCTGCCTTCAGGCAGTCCCATGTGGGACTGCACAGAAGACACGATGATGAACTGGTGTGGCTAGTTTAGCTGAGCCTGGAAAGGAAGGTAACCTTACGCACAAGCTGTTGATGAAAGCAAGCACTCCTAGCAACCATGCCAGTCTGCTGCTCTGCTACTTTATTAATATGGCTTGTGACCAGTACAAAATCAATTACAGCAATTGCTGCTCAAGGAACAAAGCTGTGTCCAGGAATCCCTGCCCTCCAGATCTTCACATGCTTATGGCCCTCTTATGCCATCCAGCAATGGCGAATCAGATCCTTCCTAACTGCTAACAAGCTTCTTTTCTTCCCTGCCTCATAGATGATCTTATCCAGCTGACTGCCATGTGCTGGATGCGAGAGTTCATCCAGCTGGCTGGCCGGGTAATGCTGCCATATTCCTCGGGGATCCTGACAGCTGTCCTGCCTTGCCTGTCTTACGATGACCGGAAGAAGAGTATCCTTACAGCAAAGGGGCGGTGGCTCAGTGGTAGAACATCTGCTTGGCGTGCAGAAGGTCCCAGGTTCAGTCCTCGCATCTCCAATTAAAAGGATCAGGTAGGAGGTGATGTGAAAGACCTCTGCCTGAGATCCTAGAGAGCCACTGCTGGTCTGAATAGACAATACTGACCCTGATAGACCAAGGGTCTTACTCAGTATAAGGCAGCTTCACATGCTCTAAGGAATGAAGCATTAGTACTTCCTTCACAAAGGCGCCTGGGCATCCAGTGGAAGGAAGGAGAGCCGAGCTTGGGTTCTGCAGCTGAGACTCTTGGTTTGGGTGTCTTGGAATGTGTCTGCCAGCTGTTCAGGAGAAGTAGGTTTTGAGGACCCTAGTGGACTTAAGAAGTTCATCGTCATTTATGGTGAATATACCTGGAGCAGATCAAAAGGAAGGGGTGATGTGGCTTCTTTCTGCCTTTGCTTTCCCCTGAACTCCAAGCAATGCTGCAGTTGCCTCCCATCGAAAATTCAAAGGACTGATTTTGATACAATGGCCACATAATAGTAGAAATTTCTTTTGTGTGTTTTGAATGGTTTTGCAGCATCTTTGTTGAGGGCTCTTGTATACCTTCAGGGTGACAGAGCTTAGATTCACTTCCCTTGAATGTTAGTTCTGTCATATAAGTCAAGTCACAGATACTCCTTGTCTCAGATACTTTTCTCTAGTAAGGATGTTGTGTGTTTGTGTTCTGTGGGTCTTCATTTTCTGAATATGTGCGAGATTTAGTGTTCGCTTCATTATTTAAAGAAGCCCAGTTTTCTAGCTTTTATAGTTGAAGAGAGAGGCCTAAAATATTTAAAATATCTAGCAAGTTCTCGGTCACTGGGGCACATCTTTCCAGATGTCAAAGTTTTCCATGACTATTATTCATAGCAATCCCCATGTCTTTAGATATCCTACCGCTGACTTCCTCTCCTTCTATTCCTCTGGTTTTTACCCAGAAATATATAAATCCTCAATATACTAGTCAAAATTTCTTAATTTAACTGATTGCAAAATTAGATTTCTTTGCCCTGTGTCTCCTTATCTAAGGGGAGATCCTGAAGCCTGTATTGGCTGGATGGAGCGTTTAGGCTGGTCCCACCTCTCCTTATGCTGTTGTGGCTAGCCCAGAGAAGAGCAGTAGCTCTTTGCTGATTTCTGAGCTCACACACTGGACAACTTTGTCTTCCCATTCTTGGAGGTTCCTTCTTTATTTTTTTTACTGGCACCGAACAAAGTCCTGTCTATCCTTTTAAATGTCCAGTTTGCACAGTCAAGATATCATGATTTGTTTTGTAGATAGAGTCCAGGGTTCATATCCTCAGTGAGACTGTTCCTTGTTTCCGTGCTGTCTAAGCAGTAATATTCTGTTTAGATTGGAAACATCTTAAGGACTTCTGTTCATTTCCTGACCGTCTTTCATAAAGTATCCCATGTGAAACTTCCCAGCTTGTCCAGCATCAAAAAGAATCAATTTCAGTTGCCTCCAGAGAAGAAATACCACATTCTAAAATGTGAGAAAGGTCATGTTGCTCACTGCTGAACTGCATGTATAGGGACATCAAAGAGTCAGTTATGATAAACTTACCATCTGGGTCCAGAAAATAAAAGTGCTCAAGATGGCAGTTCCCTTGATGTACAGCAACTGAAGAACTCCTCTTTATATAGACTGAAGTAATGTGTAGGGCAGTCTTATGCACAGTTTCTGCAGTCTAAGCCCATTGATCTCAGTGGCATAATGCTGTACAGGGTTTGTTTTGTGTTGCCTAAAGTGAGACTCTAGTGGGGAAACACCCCACCCTGCTGATTCCCTCCTGAATTCTAAAGTCTTTAAACTTTTCTCAGTTACTTCCTCTTTCTGGAACCAGTTTTCTTTTGCTTATCTTTTAATTATTTAAAGCATCTTGACTGCTATCCGTTGAATTTCCTCTTTACTCATTTTTGGTCTGTAATGTTTTAAAAAAAGGTTCTGCTTCCTGAATGGACTAGACTTGCACACATTTTCCTACATAGATCACTAGATAATAGGGATTCCCCATCTGTAGTTAAGCCCAGCCTTTTGAAATGCCTTAGTTAAAAATGTAAAACTCATGATCCCAATTAGGCTTTTTGGACTTAGATCAGCCAGTGTTTTGACCTCCAAATCATCAACAATTATTTTAAGCTATGCTTAATATCAAATCCTGTTTTTAAAGCTTTATCTTTGAAATTTTGAGTAGCTTATTTCCATACTTACACTTTCATTGTAGATAGGACCTTAGATTCCTTTTGCCCACCTTTTTTAAAAAAACCCTGATTAAATCTTCACTTTCAACTATTTCCGGAATACATATTATTTTTGAGTTACATGATTTCTGCTTGTTGTTTTGTGTTTCATTTCTCAGTCCGTGCTTCTGTAGTTTTCCAAAATTGTTCTGTCGTATCATTGGGTTTAAATTTTTTTTTTAATTGGGTTTTCACAATAATGCACATATCTATAATAGGTCATAAATAAGCATTCCATCCCATTAACACCCTATACTACTGGTAACATATTCTGAACAACAACAAATCAAACAAGCATAATTACTTTTTTCTTCTTCTCATTCACTAAATAAAGCAATTATCAAGTACATACATCCATTAATAATATTTTTTTTAGGATTCAACTTCGTCATTTATGAATTTGTAATCTATAAATATTAAACCAACCATCCTTTGTAATCAACATATTCCCTCAATAGATGTTGAAAAATTTCCTGTTTGTTCCAATATCCATTAAGTTTCATGTTTCTATATTAAACAGAAATAATACGTTTTGAATTTTATATTATTTTAATTTATTTTATTTATTTGTTTTTAAATTATTACTATTATTTCAATATTTTTGTTGTTTACCCCCCAACTGTTCAAGCCAGGGTTGTCTTTTAGCAAAATTAATATAACATCTTTTATAAATTTTACTTTAGGAAAATACTTTGACCTTCAAATTTCTCCCATCATTTCTTAAGTATTTTCCATACATTGATTTCTAATATATTTTGTCACTATGCTTGGTCATTTTTCTATACAACATACATAACAATCCCCAAAATTTACTATCACAAATCTAATTATCCATTCTGACATTTATTTAATATTAACTTAACCCTCTTCCATATCACTTAGTTACCTTCTATAACTCTATCTACCTATTTACCACCCACCCTTTCATTCCAGCTTATACATTTTCGAAACAAAAAAAAACCCCTAAACACTTTACTTTAATCAGGTCAATTCATTCCAATTTTACACACTCTCAAGAAAAAAGAAAAATTTAAATAAACATTATTATTACCTTCTCCTTTCCCTTTTAAATATATCTTGCTCCTATCTAGTTTACCTACTCCAACATTTAATTAATTAATATTAACTCAATCCTCTTCCATACAACTTGATTACCTTCTGTACTTCTACTATCTCCTTTTTACCACCATCCTTTAATTTATATCCGCACACACTTACCACTATAATCCATAAACTAATAACACCTTAATCATGTCAATTCATTCCATTTTACAAACTTTCAAAGGGGAAAAGAAGAAAACATAAAAACACTTTTTCATATATTTTAAATTGCCTTCTATGGATCTGAAGCCTCTTCTTCCGTAGCAACATGTCTATATGTTTTCCCCCCTTATAGGGGTGATAGTTCATTTCCAGTTTCTTCTCAGTAGTCCTCAAAAATTCGTGTCTCCATACTATATTGTCCTTTTTAGCCTTCCAAACAAATCTTTCTTGTCTCTTTCTTTTCCAATTTTTCTTCTTTTTGGAAAGAAGTCTTTGTACCTTTCTTTTTGTTGCCTCCCTCTTCAAATAGCTCACTTGGTTGTCTTATTTTGTCTTTGGGTCAATAAATATGACATCTCTATACTTTCCTTTTTTTGCTGGCACATAGAGATCTCTGAAGAACTCTGACCACATTGTTCCAATTTTTCACTACTCTCTGTCTCCAATTGAGGGTCATGGAAACTTGCAAACGCTTGTTCAATGCCCTTTTGTATTCCCTCCTTCAAAATTCTTAAAAATTGTTCGACCGACATTTCTCCCACCAAGATATTTTCGTCAATTTCCTCCTCCATGTCGGTTCCCCTTGCAAACGCCATTTTATTCATGCTAAGTCATTCAGGATTCAAAATTAAATATCATTCAATTGGAATTGAAATTACAAACTCCTTCAGTACCGGTTATTGAGCAGATGAGGAAGGGGAACGAGGGGCTGAATCTTTTCGAAGGGAATAATCACTATTACCCCAGGAAACAAATAGAAATTAACACTCCTTCCCTCTCGATTTCTAGCCGCTCTCTTTTTCCATTTATGGCCATTAAGTCCAGGGTATTTTGCTGACCTTCTCTGGACTTCTTTACACTTGAAGGTATATGTACTCACAGTTTCTTTTGTTCGAAATTTCCTTCTGTATTGCTTTCTTGCTGCTGTTGTGATCCATATGAATTCGAATATAGGTAAAATGGGAGGCGGCGGCTGTGAGAAACATGGCGGCCATGCTTCTCTTCACAGACCGCTCCTGCTTCAGGGCAAGAAGTGGACACCCCCCGCATTGCCAGTCATGGGAGGGGCCACGACAGAGCCCCCTGCTCCAGATCTCTCTCCGGGAGATCTGGCTGGGTGCTCCCGAGATCCGGGGAGCCCCCAAAAGAAGCGGAAAGGAATCAAGTGTCTCGGAGTGATCCGAAGACCGCCCGTCGCTGTGCTGTGCTGACCGGAAGTCCCCACCTCTCATTGTATTATTGTTTTGATATGATCTCATTGCAGTTCCTTTTTTCACTCTAAAACATTTTGATTAGCTGTCATATCTCTTACTTCCTGTATGACTCCCTCCCTTTTCTGCCTCAGCATTTTATTGTGTGTTCAGTTTTCTCAGTAAGTTCTCTTCTGAAACTATTGAATGTACTGTCACTACATACAATAGTAAAGGGGCTGGCCTCCATACAGATGGAGAAAGCGGGCTTAAGCAAAAATAGGGGCTGGGAGGATAACAGCCTTCATTGATGGTTGTCTGGGCAACGAGGAAGGGTATCCCTTGTATGGGGAGGACTACTCATACCTCTGTCTGAGTGATTCATAATACTTTTTTACTATTAGGAAGATAGCTGGGGATAGTGAGGAAGAATTCAGAGAGAGAAAGAGAGTTTCTTTTTGGTTAGCCTTTGCTCTCTTTAGTGCTAAGTATTTCAGTTCCTCAATAATTCTGCCTGGGGCTTCAGGTGCACTGAAATCCTGGGAAATGTCTCTTGGTTGTTCTATCCTGCACAATTCTACTAAAGTATGAACAGTGACAGTTACAGGAGTACATTCCTTACATTGGTGGGGTGCAGGCATCAAAGAGGTGGCTAATGTGTGTAACCAGAGCCTGATGAAGCTGGTCACTCCTGAAGATGATGAAAATGAGGTCAAACAGGCCCCAGCAGCCCCCCAAGCAGAGACTGATCATGACGAACCTCTCTCCAAGCAGGAGATGGCTTCAGGTGGTAAGTCCTATTTTCCAAATGTCTTCATACAGGCCTTATTGGTGTAACTTAATGACTAGATACCAGCATTTGTCTTGTTTGTGAACCATGGTTGGCAGGGAAACTAACCATTTGCAGTGCCACCATATGTGTTCAAATATGTAATTGACATACCATGGTAGAATGGATGTAGAAGAGGTGTGGATGTAGAAGCTTTTGTGGTGGGGTTCAGGGAAGATGATCTCAAGGTACGTTTATTTATTACCTACTGTCTCCAGCTGAGTTCCCTCTGCCCCATGCCCCTTGCCTTTTGTGTTGCCAGTTTGGTGTAGTGGTTAAGTGTGCGGACTCTAATCTGGGAGAACCGGGTTTGATTCCCCTCTCCTCCACTTGCACCTGGCTGGATGACCTTGGGCAAGCCATAACTCTGGCACAGCTGTTCTTGAAAAAGAGCAGTTTCTATCAAGAGTTCTCTCAGCCCCACCTACCTTACAGGGTGTCTGTTGTCGGGAGGGGAAGGGAAAGGAGTTTGTAAGCCGCTCTGAGACACCTTTGGGTAGTGAAGGGCGGGGTATAAATCCAACCTCCTCCTCCTCCTCCTCCTCCTCCTCCTCCTCCTTCGTCGTCGTCGTCGCTGGGGCTGAAGACACCTTTACTTGCATGGGCAGGCACCCAACCCTTGGGTGGATAGGTGTTGATTTGTTGCTTTTTAGCTGACTTGATGCACCTTCTTCCCAAAGCGATGGGAACCTGCTGCTTGGGAAGACTTGGGGCTGGATCCCACCACCTTTTCCTCTGGTGCAGTTCCATTCTCACTGCAGCCCCCATGTCACATGGCTTTTTTTTTTAATCTACAAAGGGTCCCAAGATCCCCAAAATAGACTTCTTGTAGTCAGATGCAGCCTCTGCCTTCTCTTTAATTATGTGTGTTTGGGATCCTACTCTTTGTCTCTTTTTATGAATAAAAAACACTCCAGAGCCCTGACATACTCTTTCTGTATCACAAAGGTCATCCATCCCTATAATCTTCGTTGCCTTTTCCTGATTTATGGTAACCTTTTGAGATAAGATGACTGCAGGATTCCAGATATTATCACACCATAAGTTTATTTAAAGACCTTACATTTTCACTTATAAAGGAATACTGTCTGTGTAATGTTGTCAGTCTTTAACGTGCCATTGGGTTTTTTTCCCCTTTTGGTTACAGCTTTGGCTGTTTCATCTTCAGTACCTTTCTTTGTAATTCTCAAAGTGGAAAGTGCTGCAAAGATTTGACATTGTCATTGTGCCAGCCACTACAACCCCAAAATCTCTTTTCTTGGTTAGTCCGTTGCCTTCCATCAGTGTATATGTGAAGCCGGGTTTCTTTGCTCCAAATGTGCACTACTTTTCACTTTCTTGGGAAAACATGTTTGCACATTTCTCCAATTCTGAGCAATCCTTTTGAAACTCTCTTTGAACTACTGTGAATAATTTGGATAACACCATCAGCTTGGTCAGTTCACTGTTCACCCTGATCCCAGATTATGACCCAAGTTAGTTTGCTTAAACATCTCTCCTTTCAGCCCAACCAGGACCACCAAGGTAGCTAACCACTGAAAGCAGAGCAATATAAAAGTGCATCATAAAATGATTTAGAAATCAGAAACTAAAATGCATATGCCCTCACTTGGGTGGCTGCTAACAGAGTCAGGCCTGGTTGGCACTTGGATGGGAGACCACCAAGGAAGTCCAGGGTTGCTTCACAGAGGCAGGCAGGGGCAAACCGCCTCTGAACTTCTCTTGCCTTGGACAGCAATTTCCACTGCCATCAAAATGCATATATATATAGATCAGAATGGAGAAGCATAGTTTAAATCCATTTAATAGCAACAGTTCCAGTACAGCTCCCAGTAAATTACTGAAGAACAGGTTTTGGTTCCAAAACATGATCTTCCATAACAAGCCAGTATTGTGTCATGGTTGTCGGACTAGTATCAGGGTGACCCAGGTTCTAATCCCCACTCGTGCTTTGGAAGCTCACTGGGTGGCCTTGGGCAAGTCACACGCTCTCAGTCTAACCCACCTCACAGGGTTGTTGTCAGGATAAAATGGAGGACAGGAGAATGACGTAAATTGCCTCAGATCCCCATTGGGGAGAAAAGTGGGGTACAAATGGAAGTAAATAAAATAGATTCAGATGTTTTCCTTGAGAGCAGGTTGTCACTGCAAACTAAATGGGCCTTCCCACAAGCACTGTGCCATGTTCAAACTAATGTAAATGTCTCCCTGCAGACTGCCTGGATGTCTCGAATAATTCCAGTTTCAGCGGTACCAGTGTTTTCATGCCAATCAGGTAAGGTTCTTGAGTGTTGCCGGTGACGGTCGGTATCCTCTGTTTCGAGGTGAAAGTGAGGACCTATTTTTGCTTCGGCCGGGTGTGGTGTCCCATGATGTCGCTGAATTGAAACTAATAGTTCTTCCTGGTTCTTTCATGTCACAGCTATGGGAGCGCTCATTCACTAGAAGAGCTGGGCTAAGTCCTAAAGAACTTGTACTAGGAGGAATTCGAAACAGTGGGAGGAGAAGGGATGCTGCTCTTTGCTGCATAAGAGCAGGTTGCGTCTCAAGTGCTGGGAAGGGGTGAGGCGTTCAGACGAATCATGAAGTCCCATGAAGTCCCAAAGCAGCTCTTGCTTGGAATAGTAAATCTCTGCCCTCTCCCCCAAATAACTGACTGGGATTAAATTAAGTGAATTTGTATAAGCTTGCAGATGATGTCCCTTTGGGACACTCCACCCTTGGATGGATCTCATTCCAACCGTATGCTGAGAAGGTGGATCATGGACCTTCGAGTGTTTGTCAAAAACATATCCATTTAAAGAAACAGGTGGGCCGACGCCATGGACGGTGCCTGCGTAAGTCCAGAAGCTTTACTTCTGGAAAGCTTCCCCTTTAAGCAGCTGACTCTGCTTGTGAGCGTTGAAGTAAATTTCCAGAGATGAGCACTAAAATCTTGCTGTGACTGTTCCCCCCGCCCTTTTATATTCTGGCTTTAACCAAATCTTTTGTACTAGATGCATTTCCTTACTTTGTGGCAAGGGGTGAAATTGGGGCGGGCTCTAAGAATGACATCTGCCCTGTATTCCTGTGCAGTATCACCATCAAACCACTGAGGGTCACTGTAACTCTAGCCTAATTGCTTGTTGTTGAGCTGTCCTTTTTGATATCAGTGCAGGAGAGTCTTGTTCTAGTTCTTGCTGGTCCTTTCCATCCTTGCAGTTGTTCTCTGTGCTGAATTCCGTCTCCGGTTCTGCTCCTCTTCCTCCAATGCCTCTTGGCAATAACATTTGATCTTGAAAGGCCAGGCATGTGCTCAAGAGACCTGTTGCATTCACGCTTTCTGACTGTTGCAGCTTGACATAAATTTGCCTTTTCAGCCTTTCTGTAACTGACACTCCAGATTGTTACAGCAACTCCATAAGAAGCAGGCGCAACACATTTTTTTTAAAGATGTCAGGGCAAGGGTTAGTTATACACAGGCATTCTCCTGGCTTTGCAGATGTGGATGTATCAAATGTTGGGGTCTTTCATCCTTGGTCTATACACAGGCAGTAGAGCCATCTTCCCCATTCTCCTGGCTTTGCAGATGTGGATATATCAAATGTTGGGGTCTTTCATCCTTGGTGTTAGGTCAAAATCAGGTTTCTTTTAGTATTTATAAATGGCTCTATGATTTAAACTGGGGAACAGATTCACAACAAATCCACATACAATCTGTATCCATGTCCATTTAATAGCTAACTTCATTAGGCTATTGAACTCAGTCACATTGAGAGAAAAGTGGTATAGAGGAAAATAATCAATAAAACATTTTGATTCTTCAGGAATACATTGGAAAGAGATGCATTCTGCTTGTTCCTTCCCTTGCAGGATCTGTTCAATGTATCATGTTAACATAAGCCATACCTAACACTGAGTTATTACAATTCATTGCATTTTTAATTTCATTTTTTTACAATAACAGTTCATTTGTTTTGCAATTGATGAAAATATCACATTTGATGACTGGATTACTTTTTTATTTTAATAGCGTTGATGCTATAAAAATACTTATCATCAGTACTTAATGTATCCTGCAGGCCGGTTGACCCATATCTTTTTGTTTGCCAGCCAACCCAAACAAGGATTCTTATTGGAGACATTGGGCAAGGAATAATGTAGAGAATATTTTTAAAACCTAAACATATAAACAGTTGCTGCAAAGACGCAGCTTAGTGATATTGTAGGACTTGTGGAAGGCAGAATGTATCTTCCTGGATTTTGGACAAAGAGGGAAGACAAAACGCTTTTCTGTGAGGCTTGTGCAGAGGAATCCTGTGCAGAACCCGCCGGGATGAATAGCAGCTGAGCATCGGCAGTGCTTGGTGGATTGTCATGTTGGAATAACTAGGCTCTCATCAGTTAGATTCAAGCCCAGCAGCATCTTAGAAGCCAAAAAGATTTTCAGAGCAAAAGCTTTTGAGAGCCAATGCTCCCTTTGTCAGACACAAATAGAAAGGGAGATCTGAGTCCTTTTATCCTAGTCAAAAAATGGGAGTGGTGTTGCGATCCTTTGCATCCTTTACATCGTCTTCCCCAGATGACTTGGGTAAATCACTCCCTTCGTCAGAAATTTTCACTAAATGTGTGTAAAACACCCAGCTCTGTGACCTTGCTTGTTTATCCTGCTCTGTCTGCAGCACTGAGAGAATTCAAGTGACCCTCAACCTTGATGGAATTGTCCAAGTACTGGACTGTCACCTTCATGATTCAGCTATTGGGATGATGACCCGGATTGCAGTTCTGAAGTGGCTCTACCACTTGTACATCAAGACACCTCGCAAGGCAAGTCTGTGTCTCGATCACACCAGACGTCACTTGGGAATTGGGACACACAATCTGTTGTAATAGGCAAAGGCCGGAATTGTTTTGTGTTAGATAATTGGTGCTGTTAAGGTTATTTACCTATAATCAGAAGTTAATTTTTTCCCCTCTGTTGTGAAGCTTAAGGGAAAAGAAGGGCTTTTTGCTGTTGCAAGGAATTGAAACAGCTTCTAACCTGACAGTTTCCTCTTACACTGTGGTAGCAACACCATATTTGGAATACAGGACCAAGTCGCTCTTTGTAAAGGTTTGGATGACTCCTTCATGGGTGTTTCTCCTGTTTTTAGATGTTCCGGCATACAGACAGCCTGTTTCCTATCCTGTTAAAGACCTTATCTGATGAATCTGATGAGGTGAGTATGAATTCCATGCAGAGAACTGTTGCTTATGTCCATTTTATTACCAATAAATATTTCCATATGTGGTGGAAATTTCCTACAGTATCTTACTTTTGGCAAATGACGTCAGATGGTCTCTCTTTTGGTGTTGGTTATTTGGTTTCTTTTACCTCAGAAGTAATGTCGAATTACATGATGACAATTCCAGATCAACTAAGATATTTTGTATTATAGGCACTCAACTGCTGCTTGATAGGTTTATGCCCACTGTTGGAAGAAGAATTCAAGCCCTGGGAAATGAGAATGGTTGGACAAACTAGAAGACCTTTCATGTATGGTTAGACTGTAAAGAATGTAAATAACTGGGGACAAATGATTCTACGTATGGGAAAACATTAATAGAAATTTAGAAACCAGGCATTTTGTTATAATTGCAGTCAGGATGTATTAATGATATGTGGATTTTTAATGCTTTACTTTCTGTACATAGAGAAGGTTTGTGTGTGTGTGTGTGTGTGTGTGTGTGTGTGTGTGTATAAACTTTATTGGCGTGTGTGTGTGTGTGTATATGCACATCTCTCTTTGTGTGTGTATACACACACAAAACAAAAAGTGACTAGCAGGCTGAGGTAAGCAATTTAAGGAGTTTGTGGTAAATTGCACATACACAGTACAATTCAGAAATTGTCTTGTGTGGGTATGTCCTGTGGAGTTGTTCATGACTCTGTAGGAATATGAATGGCTGTCACCTCAATTTTCCCCCTTTAGTTCAGAAGTCTGTGCCTTGGGACTATACAGAGAAGGCATAATAGAAATAATCTGTCTAAGTATACATGGTGCCCACAGGTGCTGTGGCTCCTACTTGTGTGTTCTGTGATGTCTGCTTGCTGCTGCGGGGGAGGGGGTGTGTGTCCAAAGAATCTTGAATGGAACAGGGAATAACAGGGAGTTCTGGGCTGCTCCCTGCCAGCTGACTGACTAAAAAAATGTGCAGCTCATCCTGGGCAGGTGCATTACAACTTATGTGTGTTTGGCTTGTTAACAGGCTGGGATTCTGCAGTCTTGTCAAGCCTGTGGACACGTCTGAAATTTGATAGAGGGTAATGGCAGACATCCAAGAGGGTTGCTGTGGAGACAGGGTCACGAGACACTTAAGTGGTTTCAGTTCCCAAGGGTTGGAGAGGGCTTGCTCCCCCTGCAGCTCTGGTGAGGTGCTACACAAAGAGATTCTCTGTTCCCTGGATGGTTTAGGCTGCTGGCTCTTTATGTATTGCGATCAATCCAGTCAAATGTTTGACAGACTGTATTTGAACTGTCCACACTTGTTTCTGATTGCATGTGCACGATTGTTTCCGATTTCGTGTGCACATTCTCTTACTGCTTTTCGATGGCTCGGCCACTGTCATCACCTCCCTTCCTTGCTGGTGTTTGTACACATACTTTAGGTACATAAAACGTTTACTTTTCACAGTGAAAGAACTACTGAGGTTATACATCTCCCTTCGTCTTTTGCTCCTGGCTGGTGTAGGGTTAATAGGACAGGTGTGTGAGCTGTCCAGATTGGGATTAATGTACGCCTGTGTTCACACAGTGCTGTGCCATGGCTGCCCCATCCCCCAAACAATTTCTGCCCAAAGGAAAGAAAATCAACTTGTGCAGTAAGATCCCTTCCTTCCTTCCTTCCTTCCTTCCTTCCTTCCTTCCTTCCTTCCT